AGCGTGTAGCCCTGGCTGCGCGCGTCGTCGTGGAGGCGGTGCGCGCTTGAGGATTGGATGTAGGGGGTGTTTTGCTGGGGGTGGGGGGGTTAGAACTTGGAAGGGGTGGGATATGGTGGGTGTGGGGGAGGGGGATGGAGGATGGGAGGATGGGGAGGGGGAGAGGTTACTTTAAGTGCGTCTTTTGTCAGGGTCGAGTATTTTTCAATGGCTTGGTCGAGGATGGATTGGTCGGGGAGTTTGAAGAGGGTGAGGCGGATTATGGGGGCCATGGTTGAGTGGTGGTTGATGCTGGTATGATGAACCTGTCTGTATCTTTCTTATCAATGTAGTGGAAACAGGTTCACTTGATCAATATGGCCTATGTGAGCTTGATTTTTTTTATTCTCTGGAGATTGTTCATGTATTTGTATATACGTGTTTTTCTTTCTTTGACTTGAAGACTGCTACTGTACGTGTTTGTCGTTGGCCAATTGTCCGATACCATGTCTGGGCAGCTCGGAGTTCGTGAGGAGAGCCATTCATTGTGCGGGCGGCTTGTTACTTGTTGTCATCTTCGGCTCCTCCTTGTGTCTCATATTTTGTTCAACTCTTGCGCAAGTAACTTGGGGCGGGTGTACAGTCAGTAACTGAACTGTACTGTACTATACTGTACTCTAGCATTCACGTCTCGTCTCGTTGTGCGGTTTTGGTCGGCACAAGTACCTACATTGCCTGCGAGGTCAGCACGGAGCATCAGGTCCGCCGGCCCCTCTTCCTTCTTCTGTTTTTTTTTCCTTCGCGGACGGCAAGGGTGAAGCCAAGCGGATCTACACCGTCAAACCGAAACGGATTAGGTGAGCTTGAACTTGTGGGTCTTGCGGACCCCCGCCAGTTATGTCTGGGTGGTCCGAGCAAAGTATGTCATTGGTACAATATCTTGTATATACTCGTACGGGAGGTACTGTCTGGGTACTTGGTACTGTGCAACAGGATACTCAGCGGGGGAGGGCTGTCCGGAGAATTCATCACCGCCATAGGTACTGTATGTACACATGGCTACCACATGGGCTTCGAAGGCGAATTGAACTTTGGTTGACTTGCCTCGGCGGAGGAACCAAGCTCGGGCAATAGACTGCTCACCACAAGTCGAGGCTATGTTTGGACATGATTTGCATGCACGGCAGATACTCATGGTACATGGCGATACCATCTACGTATGTAAGTACGTATGTACACTGTCAAAACTCCCGCATCGGCCGAGGGAGACATGTAACTACCCGCCCGCAATCTGCACGGAGGAGAAAGGCGGTGAGTTGGCCAGTTGTCAAGGGCGAGTCGGCAGCGGAGCTCCGCTCTTGCGCCATTGCGGCGGTACCGGTAGTATTGTCATGAATACTGTACCTAGGGTACAGACAGACAGCTCGTTCTACCTACTTGGCTGTGGTACTCTGAAACGTCAGGGTATCTACCTGGTAGAGTCCAGATGAACAGCCTCGCGAGCTGTCACCCACTTCCCTTGGCTGACGGAGAGAGGGCCAGTGTGTGTGTTTTTTTTCTTTGATCTTTCGGATGATGGCGGCTTTGAAGAGCAGCGATGGCTGGAGAGGATGCACTTTTGACAGGCGACGGCCGATTAAGTTACAGTAGGTGCCATGTAATTCGCAGATGATGCCTCACAGCGGTTACTTGCCTAGTATGGCATTTTTGCACGCCAGTACCTAGACCCTGCGATTAGCGAACTGCTGCTAGGTAGTACCTACATACCCTT